TTCTTATCCAATTATACAGAATTTATATAAAAAAAAAGTGTAGTACTTCTGAACATAGACTTGATGCGTTTAAAATGTCGTTTATTTCTTGTTTTAACATGAGTTCATCCATTTACAATAAAACAACTGTCATATAATTCATCTTCAAATTCAAATTTGGAAGCCAATGCTAGAAATTTATATAAAAGAACCTATTGTCATGAAACTAATGTATCAAAATATAACATGAAGATATCCTTGGAACAAACCTCATGATACTGATTTTTCTCCACTTAACAAAAAGTATTTTAGCAAATACAGATACTTTTTTTTTTACTTCTCAAAAGGTAGGTCACAACATCTTGAAATTTACTGTGAAGATGTTTGCACCATGTTTAGGGTATCTGCAAACTACTTAAAACTACAGTAAGAATGGTAAATATATAAACTAGGTGTTATAATGATAATAACACAGTGGTTCTCAAACTTTTTCATTCGCGGACCACTTTGTAGGGGCAAAAGATCCAGCAAAACACCTACCAGTCCTACCCCACTTGTTATGTTCTCTCTTATGGCCTCAGACTTGGCTTGCGAGTCAGTGATATGCATTTTAGACTACCCCACCGACCACACTTTGAGAACCACTGTTATACAACACACATCATGATCCAATAACTGGAGCTTACAGCTCAGGTTTAAAATGTTAATAAAATAAACACTCAATTCTTGGTTACATTATGCAGGGTATGAAAATACAAAAAATCATCCAAAAAATATGACACTTTGGGTTCAACCATATCTTGGTTTCTTTTTATGATCAAACTGTTCTTTTTTTCATTTTTTAAAATAGTAAGTTACACACAGTGATTTTAATCTCCCCGATTTTCAAATCAAATTACAAATCTTATATGCTGAAATTCTTAATCACCCAACACCAAATGTTTTAGTAACAAAATCAAAACAGTTTGGAAGTGAACCTTTAAAAAACAAATAAGAAATTCCCATTGTAAAATCTACTTGAAAAATACTGATTGCTATGAAACAAAGCTTGTATTTGGATATGTGGGCAAAGCTCCTTAAGGTTTATCTGCACTAGTTATTCCTAATTTTAAAACTGATAGACTAGAGAGAAGACAGCTACTCAATGACACCCACTACTACTCTTATAATGCACCAAAGTATGAAGTGCAAATGTTGGAACTGCAGACCCACAGCCCTACCCAACAACTGCTGGGCCATGTATGGGCTCTTACACGAACCATGGAAACTTACTAACTCACTAGGCATGCCAATTTAATTCAATCTCAACTAAAACTTAAAGCAAAGCATTACTAATGTACAAGTCTAGTCACTTTCACATCCTGTACAGATGGTTGACATGTAATCTTTGCTTTCACTCTTAAAAAACACATCTGCCATATTCAGTGCCGTGTTGATGAGACATTTTGCTTAAATTAGTCACAAAAAAAACTCAACTGTGTAAAACATAGTTATGTAAAATTATCTGTCTATAAAGCTCTAGGGTAGCTTACTTTGAAGGCAAGTCTTACCAAAGTATGACAAGAGGCACTTTTTTTACATGCACAAAGCACAAGTTTCGTTTTGAACATTAAAGAAATGCACATATAAACCATCAATGTTCCATCAGGACAAACTAATTCCACCCAATTAAATGTAGTAAAAAAAAATTCAACTTTGATGAATTACATCTTAACTGAAGAACAAGTGAAGTAACCTTTACAACGAATGCGACTTACTATTCTTCTAACTATCTGGATTGAAAAGACATTTTTTAGGACTCAGTTTTTTACTTCTAATCTTTTATTTTGGCTTCTTTGTTTTACTGTGTCTTTAAAAGTAAACACAAACTGTATACTTTTCATAAAGATTATTATATTTGTCAAGAACACAGTTGTCAGAATTAAAGATTTGCTTTTATGAAAAAAATACAAAAACTTTATTGGGATAATATATCAAACAATTTCAAACCAATTACTCCAACTGTAATGCATAAATCTTCAATACAGTAACAATGAATGGATAATTTTATTGCATATTGTTACCAATATTGTAGTAGTGGGATTCCTTGCAGTTTTTAAAATACAGTGAAACCCCCATTTTAACGCGAATTAGGATATAATGCAATGGGTCATTAACTCTTTCAACACGGGCTCATTCCCTGGACCGACCTCCTAACCATAACCTCGTTATAGTTTACATACTAATAACTTTTAATATTTTAAGTGTATCTTTACAAAACCCCGCTTTAGAGCGACCCCGCTTGTTTTGTGATGACATTTTATGGACCTCAACGATCGCATTATAACGAGGCTACACTGCATTTTAAAACTTTTCTTCAAAACCAACAATCTGTACTAAAAAACTTTGCTGTATCATGAAAATTGACACTGAGGAATTGCTGTTATCAATACGCACATATTAGTAGATTTTGTACCTATTTATAAAAATAATTATCCTGGGAATAATATTAAATCTCCTTCTTGGCATTCATTTTAACTAGGCTTAGCATTAACCATGTCTCCTGCCCCGGCAACATGTAACATCAGATGGTCTCAACATACACTAAACAACAATAACAAAGCTATTTTCACATCACTGATGTGTGTGCGTGTCAATAATTTTCTGTGTGACAATAAATTTCTTGTTAATGGGGAAAATCTTCAGCATTTATTGATTTTCAAATGTGTGTTTTTAGCAAATCAATTAAACAGGGCTTTCATATTAAAGTTCATACGCAGAAGGGCTACTAGTGAAGCCATTAAGTGCTTCCATTAATAATCAATCTGTAAATTCAATTGGACAATCCAATAATTACTGACTACATACCATCAGGTGATTCTCTGCCACAGCAAATGTAAATATCCTCACACATACCACAGCAAAGGTGAACACATTTACACACATAACATCAAACATGCTACAACAAAGGTAAACATCTTCACACAATTATCAGTGAATTCTATGAATTGAATGTCACTAAAAGCTCTGTTAATAAACTTGCAACATTCCCTCTTTATATTTTTTTGTAATAATATAACCAATAGTTATGTGAACAAATTTAAGCAAGTGCCAAAAATATGAAAAGCTACTGACATGACTTAGGCCTAACAATAAGTTCAAGTAGCTTTAAGGTAAATAAAACAAGCATTCCATAAATTATCAATTACTCTAAACTTCACTCCAACTTGTCATATTACTGTCGCTGGGATTTATGTCATTTTCCTGAATTTCTCTCTAAATCTACTTACATACATAGAAACTTTTAAGATAATTAGTTATTATAGCTAAACCAGAAAGAAAATATGTAGTAAAATAGTCTTAACTTTTGAGTGTAAAATATTATTTTAACTTAAATGTAACCATAGACTAGTCCACAATACTAAGTACGAAACTGCTTCACATAACTGTGTTTTAGTTTTAACTAATGCACATTCTACAATTCTGTTTGTATTGAGTGTCAGAAGAAAAATCCAAGAACATGAAATCAGAAAAGCACAAAAAAAAACTAATTTTGACGTAAATTGAATCTGTTTTCAGTAACATTAACTTTAATGGTCTGGATCGTAAATATACTTTAACACGCACGATATAAGCAAAATGCATAATATATTTTATCATTTTCTACCACCTTAGTGATGATGATAAAAACAATTTTCAGTGAATGTTTTTTTTTTTTGCTACCCAATAAAACAGAAGAGCTAAAACAAAAAAATCACATCTTACAAGCGAGTTTTCCTGCATTTTGAGCTAAAGAACACTAAAGTGTGACATTTCGTGCCAAATTTTTTATTATTACAAATTCTTTCCTTCTTCAGATCATTTTTTCTTCTTGTGATGAAAAACACGGAATTGATTTTTCAAAGGCTAAGTGTTTTACTTCCCTCGTACACTGTATTTAAAATTCTCCAATACAACTTACTTAATAGTTGAGTATTTGTTCATTTAAAATCTTAAAAAAAAATTTTTTAATGTGAAAAGAAACCCATTTCTATGTTTTTAGGAACGTGAACCAGTGTGATGATATCCAAGCTTAACATGCACAACATAACAGTGCACAACAGTTTCTAAATAAATACATTTATTACAGTTAACATTTGCCATGTTTCAAAGCCTACTTTTGTGATTCACCAGCACATCAGTAGGACCAAAGCAAAATATTTGAAACTGTGCAAGTTCACAACCATTTGTGAAGTAGCCTACTTTCTAAAATCTACAGTGTAAGTTCTCAATATAACTTACTTAAAAACAACCACTAAGAACTAAGTATTATCAAACTATGCCTAAAAACCAACACATCTAAAGGACAAAAAGTATTAAACCAAATGCAATTTTGTTAGAATTTACAATGTGCTATTGTATATCAACATGATAACTAGATCTCTAACAAATACTCTGTGAAAAGAATCCATAAACTAACAATAAAAACTGCTGGCCTGATTGTAAAAAAGTTTATAAATGGTAATTACTCAAATGTGTGTATCACATTAATAAACCAAAGACTATCTGAACACCAGCTACACTGGGTTTACTCTGTCAAGTCTATCGTGCTAGTAGGTCTCGTATCTAACCGAGGGAAGAGCGAGGACAATTTATTTCTAGTTTGTTTGTTGACAAAACATATAATCAATTAAAGAGCACCCTCAATGTTTTAAAAAATATTTGTCCAGTTGGGTAAACCATTTCTTACATTATTTTTTATTATTTGCTCAAATGTATAAATACAGATATGTTACATTCACCTATCGAGTACATTTTGTGCAGAAATATAACAGATCAGACTTTTTTTTTCATTAATATACAAGTATAGGATATCAAAATAAAAAACTGACATTTTTAGCACATTTCCAAAGAAAGCTTGATACAGATGGAGTTAATAGCTTTTCTAAATATTTTTATGAAGGTATGGATATCTTTGTTGTACAGGTACATTTACATGTTATAATATGCAATAGCTAAAATTGAAAAGTTCCAATTTGATTCTATTTTTGTTGGATGCGTTCTTCTCTCTTTCCATTCAAATTAGTTCCAGTCATTAATGGAATTTAACTGATAAAAGTCAGTTCATTATAAATTGGTGTGGGGTAAGCAACTTCATATTAAGCCCTCAAAACCATCTGGGTTCCAAAGAAACATTGTGAGCTACAATTAAAATATACAGAAGACCTCATAGTGACATTTGTCCGATTGTGTGTCTAACAATATTAAGTTTTACAGAAAACGTCCCCTAAAGCAAAGAGCGGGTAAATACCATTACGCACTCGTAAGTAGTTATCAATACACTTGACCAAACAGACCATTTCTAACTATATGAATGGTTCTTTCATCTTTTACCGAATCATTGGATAGTTTCAAGGGTAATCCTTACCTAGTTTACGCTGAAAATCGGTGACTAAACTTAGTAGTTACGTAACATCAAAGTGGGTATATTAAACTGATATGAAAGTTTACGTTTAATTTGATTCAAGTAATTTTCATCAATACAAGCCTACAACTAACCTAGCAACCTATCACGAAGACCATTTTTTACCAATGCAAGGCTGCATTATCTTGACAAAACACTAGGTTTTGTCAAAAAGTTTGGAAAATTCTTCCATGAATCCATACCTCCTACCCAGAGCATTTCAGCTTTTATTAAAATATTTAACAAGAAAGTGGTATGCTACTGCTATCATGCATGTTATAAAGGTGCACATGACATTAACATCAAACAGTACAGTTAACTGTGATCTTGTTTTCTAGTCCAAATCCTGATTAATCCTTTACTGCTTTAGAAGTGCTACAAGGATTCAATCTATTAGAACACAGTAATCTTCATCAAGGATTATGGATCTGTTTCGTGTTTCATGTTTGAAACACACATCCTATTGATACAAGTTACAACAATAACTTTTAGTTATTTCAAAGGGAACATTCCTAAGAAAAAATTCTAACTTAAAAAATCCAACACATATATATAGTATCTCACAAGCTTTAAACCTCACAAAGTCTGTCCTCATTTTTGGACATACATCGTTCAAATTTTCTAATTAAAAACCTCAAAGAACTGCATCATCAAAATATATTTACAAATACACAATTAACAAATAAAATCATTACAACCTTTCACTGCTAATCTTCTTACTAGAACATTTTCTGTAAGCAATAAGACAAAACTTTTACACCACATTAAATGGCAGTGATACCAGATAGAAAATCCAGTATGAACTTCTCAAGTTAGTAAGTACGAGAAACGTAGGGCAAAACAACAAAGTATCCAATCAGGATGAGGTTCAGAGCCATGCTGACAGCAACAAGGCACCTGTAGTAGCGGCCACCAAGGATTAGACTTTGTTTACCTTGAAATATAAACAATAACAGCTAATGATACCATACTCACTTTTAACTAAAGTTAAAAACAAAAATAACATAAAATTTACAAGTATTCTGAAAATAATTCAACTTTCAAAAGCTTCTCAGCTCACCCTCCAAGTTCGTTAAAACTTGTACTTTTTTTTTTTAGTTAGAGATTGTAAAAATTGTTTGCAGTTAAGTGTTTACAGTAACTGAAACAATTGTACACAAGAAAAACAGAAACAGACCATATTAAATCTTTATATAAATATTAATATGGAATTTAAGTAAAACAGAAGCAGTCCACATTGAATCTTTATATAAATATTAATATGGAATTTAAGTAAAACAGAAGCAGTCCACATTAAATCTTTATATAAACATAAATATGGAATTTAAGTAAAACTCAAGCAGTCCACATTAAATCTTTATATAAATATTAATATGGAATTTAAGTAAAACAGAAGCAGTCCACGTTGAATCTTCATGGGAACAAGGAATTTAAGTCAAAAGTTATATGACAAGACGGACAGAATTTTCTTTTTAGTTTATATCACTTTACAAAGATATTTTAGTCTCACTTATATTTTACATTTTTCAATATTTATCTGTAATCTTGCTAGGTTAGGTCTACAGTGGATCTGGGTTTCTATGTCTAAATGAGTTCATCATACTGGCATCATGTTTACATTTGATTAACGACAGTCTTCTGACATTTCAACAGTACAACGTCATCACCGGTATTTATGGCTGGAGGACTGTATGTCGTGACCCTTTCAAACGAAAAGTATTCATACAGAAAAAAAAAGACAACAAGAAACCCTTATGATAAATATTTCAAAAATTACTATTTATATCAAGGACTGAAAAAATAAAAACGCCTACAAGTTTACCACACTATACACCCAATCCATACCAATAAAGTGGTGTAGTTCAGCTAGTTTACATCAGTACGCACCCAATCCATACCAATAAAGTGGTGTAGCTAAAGCTAGTTTACAACAGTACACACC